GGTGAGTATTACGCATACCTGGAAGCTGAATTTGATATCTTTAGTTCACAAATGCACCGGGAATATTCCTGCAAATTTTTAGCCCTTTATCTTGCCTGGTTTCCGAGATCGCTTGCCTCCGCCCAAAAATTTGCATATTTTTTTAAAACGTCCGTGCACGCTAGCACAGGCGTAGGCGAACGATGATATTACAACAGTGGGTTCCGCACTGTGTGGGCATATACTCCCAAAGTCTGAGCCTTCTAGCTTTTCTAGTTCTCGAGTTGAAAGTGAGTGACAAAAAGTGCGAACATACAGACACGCACACACAGACAGTCTCTTGCCAATATGCGATTTTGCAGTTTGCATATTTGCAGAAACGCATAAAAATCATTGTTTTTGCGTGGAATTAACTGCTCCCAAAATCAAAAGTTTGCGATAGCGAGTCCAGAACTCCAGGACTAGTTGCTCGTTGCGGATAAGAGGAAACAGTGATTGAAGCGAGCTGCTTACAGTACCGTACTCCTTGAATAACTCTTATATTCTGCACAGACCTAATTTAGCATAAATATTAAAACAATAGTATAATTTGCCAATAAAAAATTACCGTAAAAAGATATGAAACCAATTTTACTTAAATTGTTTGACTGACCTGCACTAGGAAGTGGTTGCGGTTCTGAGACGTTTGGAAGTGATTCGGGAGAAAAGCTCGGCAAAGGTACGGCGACAGGTGGTATGACATCGGTCGGTGCCTCGTAATCATCGACACTTGACATGCTGACCAATGATTCATTCCCATTACTGCTCAATGGAGCAATTAGCCCTCCGGGCCACGGATGTTCCTGAAACTCGTTTTCTAGTTTCGAATCTCTTTTAGTAAAACAACCAAATTTCCGTCAGTTAGTTACTTGTAAATGTATGCTGTTTGTAGATTTACTAGCCAATTACAGCCAATGCACACACTTACATATGTACACACACAGAGGTTATATATATGCATATATATACAGTTTGTTGCGCACATAAAAACAAAAAAATTACGCCAGATCTTTATACATATAAGGATTTAGCGTAATTATATATATATATATATATATATATATATATATATAAACATATTACGTCTTTTTAATTATTCTGATAATAATTATGCATCTTTTATCGAAATGATATGTCTTTATATATAAACATATGTATATAAACAAATAATTACGCCGAATTATGCATATTTCTATAAAGCCCTAATACTCTGTTAACTCATTTCTAATTTTTGCAAAAATACATTAAAACTCATGCTCTTTTAACTCATGCTCTTCTTTCTTCTGCCTATTTGCCCCACCAAAAGCCAAATCCAAAAATTAAACTTTGTCAGCTTTTCGTTAACGAGACAGAGAAGCCTGCTTTTCCTGTCCTCTTTTGCAACCCCCCCCCCCTCTCCTTTTATTTCCGCAATTCCCTTTTCCCAATTACGCAGATTCTTAATTCTGGCCATTTTACTATTATTGACAGCATTTAAAATGGATTGGAACTAAAATCTGACGCTGGTAACACCGAAAGTGGGAGAATTTTAAATCCTAATCCATTTATTCTGTTCTCCAAAATGAATATCAGGCTCACCAGCAAGTTAATTACGACGCGACGCAGCACTGCACAAAACAGACGGGAATATTACCAGCAGCATAGTTCCAGAACCCGCTATAAGTTTAGTTGATCAGAGGATTTTGCCTTCATAAAATAATTACAATTCATTTTAAAAGAGAGGATGGGTGATAACATTTTTTAATGCGCAATCAGGAAAAATGCGAAAAGTGTTGTTTAATGCATAGCAGATTTTGTATACAAAAAGAGCTGTTAAATTCTGTTTATTGACTTGGAGCAAATTATTGATTGTTTTGACTCATATTCATTTTAAGATTCCACCACTTTCAAAATTCTGTCCGAATCAGCAGAAATCACTCAAGAATTTAGCTCAAAATGAAGTACCATTGACGAAGACGATGATGATGTGAATGAGAATGTGAAAGTGGGTCGAACAGTATACAGTTGTGGATTAGCGGTTGTGATTGTATGCGGTTCCGTTTGCGACGCAAAAGATTTTCCAATCGGTGGTAGAGATATTCTGGCCTATAATATAAAGTCCACTCAAGTGGTCATGGATAAAAAAATAATATTTTTTCTATAATTCAGGATTGCGCTGGTTGATCGCTCAACGTGACACTGTGGTCAGCCATCGCTTATCAGTGGCTGGAATCAAGAAAGAATACAGTTAGTAGAATGACCTGCAAACTG